CAAACGTCATGGGCTTACAACTGCTCGGTCTGCATACGACCATCACTACCGCCCCGCGCATCCTCGAACCTAAGAACCCACGACATGCCCTCACAGGCCCACACGCCAAGGAGTGGCGTGCAGCCATGGACGCGGAGCTGAAAGCACTGGAGTTGCGCGACACATGGGTCCTAGTCGATTGTGCAGCAGTGAAGGGGAGGAGGGTGCTATATGGAAAGTGGGTCTTTCGCCTGAAAACTGCCAGCGATGGAACTATCGAGCGCTGTAAGGCAAGGTGGGTCGTACGCGGGTACGATCAGCGCTACGGCATCGACTTCGACCAGACCTTCGCCCCCGTGAGCCGCCATGCCTCTGTACGAATTCCACTTGCCATCGTTGCCGCTAAGCACCTACCACTTCGGCAGATCAACGTGAAGAACACATTTTTATACACGCTGGTCGACGCGACCATCTACATGCAAGGTGACGAGCTGATTGGAGGAAGCGCGGCGGTGAAGGCGCCGGCTACCTCGGGCCAAGCGAATTGGGAGACTTGGCATCGGCGGCTCGCACACGTGGCTGTTTCTACATTGGAGGTGATGCACAAGGAGAAGTGCTTGCACGGCCTGCAAGTGCAAGAAGATGGCGCTTCATTTGGCAGTTGCGAGACATGCATGCAAAACAAGTTCGTGCGGTTCCCGTTTCCACGTGCGAAGGCACCATTGGAGGTGGTGCACATGGACCTGGTGGGTCCTATGAGGACGGAGGGGACTGGGGGAGTGTTGTACTTCCTCACCATGGTGGACGAATGGAGCCGTTTCACGTGGGCACGTCCCTTGTCCACGAAGAGCGATGCTGCAGCGGCGATCAAGGAGGATTGGTTGCCGATGGTGGAGCGGCAAGGGATGCGGTTGGTGAAGGTGCTGAGGAGTGACCGTGGTGGAGAGTTCCTTGGAGCGGAATTCACCAAGTTTCTCAAGAAGAACGGCATTCGACACCAGCTGGCCTGCCCAGGAATACCGCAGCAGAACAGCATTGCTGAACGTGCCTACCGGACCATTGGAGAGGCGACTAAGACCTTGTTGAGGGCTGCTGGGATGCCCTACAAGTTCTGGCCTGAAGCTTTTCGCCATGTCATCACGGTCAAGAACAGGGTCTTGACGCATGTTGGCGACTAGCACTGGATGCCGTACGAGCGTTGGTTTGGGAAGAAGCCAGCCATTGACATGCTGCAGGTGTGGGGCTGCATGGGGCTTGTGATGGTGGCTAAGGAGCAGAGGCACAAGCTGGAAGTTGCTGCTGTATGGGCTGTCCATCTTGGGATGGCTCCTGACTCGAAGGGGTGGCTGATGTGGGACCCCAAGAGCAAGAAGACGCTGGTCAGCCGTAACATCAAGTTTGTGGAGGACGTCATGTACAAGGACTGGTAGCAGCAGCAGCAGGTGCAGATTGGCTTGCGTCTGCAGGAGATTGAGCAGTCTGCAGTGGAGGAGGTCCAGCTGCACCTTGAGGATCTCCTTGGGTCAGAGTTGACCAGTGACCACAGTGGCGGTGGTGAGCAGCAAGGTGCTGGTCCTTCTGCGGAGGAGGGGTCGGAGGATGAGTCGGCACGTGTGGACTCACCATCTCAGCCCGGGCCTGCTGCAACCGCCAAGGTCACCAAGAGGATTGTGCAGAGAGGAGCTTCACCACATGGGCAGCAGATTGCAACCCGCGAGAAGGGAGTGGCAGCGCCACCTTCAAGGCTGAAGTATAGCCGTTTGGGAGGACCCAAGCAAGGTGCCATGGCGGTTCAGGCAGATGATGGAGATGATGAGGAGATGGCCTTCTGTTTCTTCACACCCTTGCCTGGAGAATCATCGACAGTGGAGGAGGCACTGAGTGGACCCCAGAAGGAGGAAGGCTGCCATGGATGCGGAGTTCAACAGTCTCTTTGAGAATGGGACTTGGGAGCTTGTTGAGTTACCCGAGGGGCGACGGCCGATAAGCAGCACGTGGGTCTTCAAGTTGAAGAGTGGAGCTGATGGTGCGTTGGAGCGGTTCAAGAGCCGCTTGGTCACCAAGGGGTTTAAGCAGAAAGAGAAGGTTGACTTCAAGGAGATCCTTGCTCTCGTTGTTAAGCCAGTGACATTGATGACTGTGCTGGCTGGCGCCGCTGTGAAGGGATGGCATGTGAAGCAGATGAATATCACCACTGTGTTCCTTAATGGAATTCTGCTGGATATCTACATGGCGCAGCCCGACGGCTATGAGGATGGGACCAGCCGGGTGTGCAAGCTCAAGAAGGCTATCTATGGCCTTAAGCAAGCGCCCAGGTTTTGGTACGAGAAGTTGGACGAGGTGCTGCTGAGTGGAGTCTTCGAGACGTCCCAAGCGGATCACAGCTTGTTTCTGCTTGGAGAGGGGGAGCAGCTGCTCTTGCTGCTGGTGTATGTCGACGACATACTGCTATCCTCACCTTCCATGGAGCAGATTGAGAGGACACAGAAGCTGCTGATGGACAACTTCAAGTGCAAGATGTTGGGGGATGTCCACTACTACTTGGGGCTGCAGATTGAGAGGGATGTTGAGAGGAGGTGGCTGAAGATGCATCAGTCACACTACATCTCTGGTATCATGGAGCGCTATGGTGTGACTGGGGGTCGCACTGTGATGACATCGTTCCCTGCGGGCTTCAAACTGAAAAAGGCAGCTGAGGAGGATGATGTACTCAAGGATGAGCAGCAGAATGAGTACCAGTCACTCATTGGGAGTGTGATGTATGCAGCTGTGCATACGCGACCTGATGCTTCATTCGGAGTGGGGCAGCTGGCCAGAGTTGTGCAGCGGCCCACTGAGGAGCGATTGGAGGTGGCAAAGCGCTTGGTGCGTTACCTTGGATCAACGGCATCTGCTGGTGTTCAGTTTTCAGCTGGCGGCCAGCTGAAACAATTTGGAGCAGATGGGATAACGCCTGGAACCTTGAAGTTGTCGTGCTTCACTGACGCTACATGGGCCTCCGAGGAGGAGGATCAGTCATCAGTTGGCGGCTTTGTGTGCATGGTCGGAGGTGGACCAGTGAGCTGGAGGTCCAGGAAGCAGAGTGAGATTGCACAGTCTTCTGGAGAGGCACAGTACATGGCAATGTACCATGCCATCAAGGAGATTGTGCTCCTGAGGAAGCTGCTGGAGGACATGGGAGCTGCACAGGAGGGACCTACACCACTTTTCTCCGATAGCGAGGCTGCTATTGGCATGGCCAATAATCCTATCCTGAATGGGCTGAATAAGCACATGAAGATTAAGTGGCACTGGGTGAGGCAGATGGTAAAAGAGGGGATTGTTGAGCCTCACCATGTGAAGGCTAGCAAGCAGGCGGCAGATTTTGTCACCAGGAGACTTCGCGAGAGTGCACATTGGAAGTGTGCAAGGATGTGTGGCATGGCATTGCACTAGTGTGGGCAGGAGTGTCTGTCAGAACAGTATTGTTAGGTTTTGCGTATACAATCTTGTACTGTCCTGTTTCTACTCATCCTTGATTCCTATTCTCACATGGTATTCTGAGCAGGTTCCCTAGTGGGACCGAAATTTTTTTTCAAGGGCCCACCACGATTTTTTCTGCCCTGCCCGAAGCGCGCTGCCGCGCCTTCCTTCCCTATCGCGCGCCTCGCGCCTGCCTCGCTTGCGCCTGCCCTGCCGTCGCGGCCCTGCCGTCGCGGCCCTGCCCGTCGAGGCCCTGCCTACCCTGCCGCCCGTCGCGGCCCTGCCTACCCTGCCGCCCGTCGCGGCCCTGCTTTGCCGGCCGTCGCGGCCCTGCCCTGCCGCCCTTCGTCGCGGCCCTGCTTTGCCGGCCGTCGCGGCCCTGCCCTGCCGCCCTTCGTCGCGGCCCTGACCTGCAGCCGCCGTCGCGGCCCCTGACCTGCCGCCCCACGTCGCGGCCCTCCCCCCTTAACCTGCAGCCACTGTCGCGGCCCCTGCCCTGCAGCCGCTGTCGCGCCCCCCTACACTGCAGCAGCCGCCGAGGCCCCGTGGCCTGCTGCAGCCGTCGCCCCTGCAGCCGCCGTCGCGGCCCTGCTGCCGCCGTCGAGCCTGCAGCTGCCGGTGCGACCGCCGCCATCGTCGCCGCTGAGGCCCCGCCGCCGCGGCCCTGCCCTGCCGCCTCGTCGCGGCCCTGCCTGACGCGACCCCGACCCTGCAGCCGCATCGCGGCCCTGCCCTGCCGCCTCGTCGCGGCCCTCCTTGTCGCGGCCCCTGCCCTGCCGGCGCGCCACGGCCCTGCCCCACCAGTCGCGGCCTCTACCCTCCCCTCCCACCACTGGTAAGCGCACCGCCGCACCCGCGCCGCCCTGCAGAGCCGCGCCGCCCTACCGAGCCGCGCCGCCCTGCCGAGCCGCGCCACCCTGCCAAGCCGCGCCGCCCTGCCGAGTCGCGCTGCTACTGCTGCTGCTGCTGCTGCTAGGCTACTGCTGCTGCTCCTGCTGTCATGGCTAGCCCTAATGTCCTTACCTTCGATGCTGAGGGTCGAGCAGTCGATTTCGAGGTCTGGGTCGATGATCTGCAGCTTTTCCTGCAATGCGACTCTAGGGACGGAGTCTCACTGTTCGATCACACGTCCGGCGTCTCTGTTGCACCTGCTGCCGATGCTGACAGTGCAGTTCGCTCGCAGTGGACCACGCGCGATGCTGCTGCCCGTCTTGCTGTCCGTAGTCACCTGCCGTCTGCTGAGCGCGTGCACTTTAGCCAGTACAAGACTGCTCAGACTCTGTACGACGCTGTTGTTGCGCGCTACTCCTCCCCTGCCACTGCTGCCCTTAGCCGCCTCATGCTACCGTACCTGTTCCCTGACCTAGCCGCCTTTGCCACAGTCGCTGGCCTCATTACGCACCTCCGCACTAGTGACACCCGCTACCGCGCTGCGCTTCCTGCCGAGTTCTGCGCCAAGAACCCCCCCCCCTATGTATATCACTCTCTACTACCTCGTCACCCGGCTCCCTGACTCCCTTCGCTCGGTCAGGGACCAATTTCTCTCCCTTTGCCCCACCATGCTCACCGTTGACCTCCTCGAGGAGCGCCTCCTTGCAGCTGAGAAGAGTATAGTCGCTGTAGGAGGCGCTCATGGTGACCCTCGTGCCCCTTTCTTTGAGGGGTGCTCCCCCGTTCCCCTTTTGCCTTCTGTTGCCTCTGCTGCTGCTGTCGACCTCGTTGGCACCGAGTCGGTTGGCGCTGCGTCTGCTCCTAGTGGGAGGCGCCGCAGCGGCAGGAGCAAGTGGGGCAAGGGTGCTGGAGGAGACGGTGGGGGCGGCGGTGGTGGCGGTGGAGGCGGCGGAGGGGGTGGGGGTGGAGGTGGGGGTGGTGGCGGGAGTGGGGGCGTCGGTGGCGGTGGGGGAGGTGGAGGCGGCGGCGGAAGAGGCAGTGGGGGTGGCAGCGGCAGTGGTGCTGGTCGGGGTGGCGCTGTGCAGCGGGGAGGCTTTGGTGGTGGCCAGCGCCAGCAGCAGCAGCAGCGTTCTCGTGAGACCCTGTCGCCCCAGCAGCTTCGTGAGTGGTACGCTGGGCGTGGGAGGTCTGGGGGTGCTGGTCCCTGTGCTTACGTTCTTCGCACCGGCGTGCGCAGTGGGGAGACGTGCGGAGGGCCGCACACCACGCACCGCTGTTTCGGCCGCCTGACTGATGCCTGGTGTGCACAGTTTCCTGACGCCACTGAGATCCCTCGCTGGGGTGATCTGCTTAATTCGGGGGTTGCTATCTTTGATCTTGATTATGATGCTATCCTTGTTGCTATGTATGCTGTGTCTATTAGTGCTGAGGGTGACTGCTACCTGTGTGTTCCGCCCGACCCGGGCATTGAGGCTGCTGCTCTAGGTGCTAGTGAGTCTGCTGCTCCAGGTGCTGGTGAGTCTGCTCTCTCAGGTACCGCGTCGGCTCAGGTCTTACACACTTTCACCCTTGACTCGGGTGCTTCCCGCTCCTTCTTTCGTGACTGCACCACACTCTTGCCGCTCAGTCGGCCAGTGGCAGTCTCTCTGGCTGACCCCTCTGGGGGTCCGGTCCTTGCACACTCCTCCACGGTTCTGCCGTGTCCAGCGGTCCCGTCTGGCTCTCTGTCTGACCTCCACCTCCCCTCGTTCTCCACGAACTTGGTGAGTGGAGCTGACCTTCAGGACGCGTGGGTTGACCAGTTTACTCCTGGAGGTCAGCGGGTGACCCACTGTTCGTGTACTCGGACGGGCCGGCACCTCACCACGTTCACCCGTCAGCCTGGGTCGAGCCTGTACACTCTGACTACCGTGTCTCCTCCGGTTGCTGAGTCTGGTCAGGTAGCTGCGTCGGGTCAGGTGTTTGCTGCAGCGTCCCGGTCTGGTCCTGAGTCTCCCCCCTGCTCGTGTCGCCTCCTGTCTCACCAGACTCTCCTCTGGCACCACCGCCTTGGTCACCCCTCCCTGCCTCGTCTCCGAGGCATGGCCTCCCGTGTCCTTGTCACTGGTCTTCCCCGGTCTCTCCCTCCCCTTCCCCAGAGGCCTGCCCCTACCTGCGTTCCTTGCGTAGAGGGGCGGCAGCGCGCCGCTCCTCACTCCTCCGAGTTCCCTCCGACGGAGGCTCCCCTGCAGACTCTTCACATGGACGTGTGGGGCCCCGCCCGCGTCCGTGGACAGGGTCACGAGCGTTACTTCCTGCTGGTCGTTGACGACTACTCGCGTTACACCACAGTCTTCCCCTTGCGCCGCAAGGGTGAGGTTACTGAGGTGCTGATCGATTGGATCCACGCTGCCCGTCGTCAGCTCAGCAAGAGTTTCGGCTCGGACCTTCCTGTTCTGCGTCTGCACTCAGACAGGGGTGGTGAGTTTTCCTCCGACCTTCTGCGAGCCTTCTGTCGTGCGGAGGGCATCCGCCAGACGTTCACGCTTCCGGCCTCACCGCAGCAAAATGGGATTGCTGAGCGCCGCATTGGCATGGTCATGGACGTCGCTCGTACGTCCATGATCCATGTGGCTGCTCCCCATTTTCTGTGGCCGTTCGCGGTTCAGTACGCTACGCATCAGCTCAACCTCCAGCCCCGCGTCTCCATGCCGGAGACCACACCTACTCTGCGGTGGACGGGGAAGGTTGGCGATGCGTCTGCGTTCCGTGTCTGGGGATCTCGAGCTTTCGTCCGCGACTTGTCTGCGGACAAGCTGTCCTCCCGTGCTGTTCCCTGCGTCTTCCTTGGCTTCCCCCCTGACGCGCCTGGTTGGCAGTTTTACCACCCCACCTTGCGCCGTGTTCTGTCCTCTCAGGACGTCACGTTTGACGAGTCGGTTCCTTACTACCGTCTCTTCCCCTACCGCACTGCCCCCCTCCCCCCCCCGCCGCTCTTCCTCACGCCAGGTCCTCCCCCGGTAGACCCCCTCCCCCCTCAGGGTCCTGCCCCCTCAGGTGTGTCCCAGGTAGACGCAGTCGAGCCTGTCGATGTAGCTGTTGACTCTGGTGCTGTTTGGGGTGCTGAGCCTGCGGGTGCCGGGTCTGGGGGTGCTGAGCCTGGGGGTGCTGAGTCTGGAGGTGCTGAGCCTGGGGGTGCTGAGTCTGGGGGTGCTGAGTCTGGGGGCGCTGAGCCTGGGGTTGCTGAGTCTGGGGGTGCGGAGCCTGAGGGTGCTGAGCCTGCGCGTGTGGAGTCTGGAGGTGCTGGGCCTGGAGGTCCCTCGGGTGCTTCGGCTCGACGGGAGCCACTCTCTCCACAGCAGCTGCGCGAGTGGTTTGCTCGGCGCTGGAGCTGTGCTGCTGGAGCTGGTGGTGCTACGGGCGCTGGAGGTCCTGCTGCTGCTGGAGCTGCTGGGGGTTCTGGAGCCACTGGTCCCGGAGGTGCTCGTACTGGAGGTACTGGAGCTGCTGAGCCTGGTGGTGCTGCTGGAGCTGGAGCTGCTGGAGGTGCTGGAGCAGGTGCTGCTGGAGGTACTGGAGCTGGCGCTACTGGGGCTGCTGGGGCTTCTGGTGGTCCTGCTGGAGCTGGAGCTGCTGGAGGTGCTGGAGCTGGAGGTGCTGCTGGAGCTGGTGCTCCTGCGGGTGCTGGAGTTGGCGCAACTGGTGCTGCTGGAGGTGCTGCTGGAGCTGGTGGTGCTGCTGGAGTTGGAGCTGACCCTGGGGGTGCTGGTGCTGTCCCTGCTGGTTCTGGAGGCGCTGCGCGGCCGCGGCCGTACTACGTTCCGCTCCTTCAGCAGGTTCTTGGTCTTCCGCCTTCTACTGGTCCTACTCCTTCCTTAGAGTGTCCACCGCCTGTCCAGTCGCAGTCCCAGTTCCAGCCCGCCTCCCCACTGCCTGCTCCTTCTCCTTACACTGGTCCGACTGGAGGTCTTGCTTAGCGGCGTGAGCCTGAGTCTCGTCCTGCGTCGCCTGTTCGTGCTGCTCGCACTAGTCGTCGTGGTTCGCGTCAGCGTCCTCCTCCTGTCCCTGGCACGCACCAGATGGCTCTGCGCCCTTCCACTGCTCCGCAGCGTGTCCCTCTGCCGTCTCCTCCTGCGTCCTCTCTTCCTGCCCTTGCTGACCCGGCATCTGACTCCCTTCGTGCTGCTAGTCCTACTGCCACGCGTGTCCTGGCCACTGTGGTCACTGACCCTTCCTTTGAGTCCACTGCTGCGTCTGCCTTAGTTGCTGAGCTTGTCGACTTTGCTGCTCCCTGTCGTCTAGACTACGCCGCTAGTCTTGTTGCTGAGTCCGAGTCTGTCTGTCCTCCGTCCGTCGGGGGTGAGTGTGCTCTTAGCACGGACGTCCTTGAGGACAGGCAGGAGGAGTTCCAGTGTTTTGCTGCTGCTTTACCTCATCTCGTGTCCATGCTGCTTGCCCTTGAGGGAGACCCGGATGCACCAGACATCCCGACCCCGCGCTCTTACGCAGAGGCGATAGAGGGTCCCTACTCCTCTCAGTGGCAGACAGCCATGGACGCGGAGATGGCTTCCTGGAAGTCCACAGGCACCTACGTCGACGAGGTTCCCCCTCTTGGGGCGAACATTGTCGATGGCATGTGGATTTTCAGGGTGAAGCGGCCACCGGGTTCTCCGCCTGTCTTCAAGGCGCGTTACGTGGCTCGAGGCTTCAGTCAGCGGCAGGGAGTTGACTACTTTCAAACCTTCTCTCCCACCCCGAAGATGACCACTCTTCGGGTACTGCTGCACGTTGCTGCTCAGCGTGACTACGAGCTTCACTCTCTTGACTTTAGCACAGCCTTCCTACAGGGCAGCCTGCACGAGGAGATCTGGCTGCGCCGCCCACCTGGCTTCACTAGGTCGTTTCCTCCTGGTACCCAGTGGAGCCTCCGGCGGCCAGTCTACGGTCTCCGCCAGGCGCCCCGTGAGTGGCACGACACACTGAGGACTACGCTTGCGGCTCTTGGCTTTGCTCCTTCTAATGCCGACCCGTTGCTGTTTCTACGCACCGACACCTCTTTGCCGCCGTTCTACATCGTCGTGTACGTCGACGACTTGGTCTTTGCTACTGCTGATACTGCTGGACTCACCCACGTAAAGTCGGAGCTGCAGAAGAGACACACGTGCACAGACCTGGGTGAACTGCGCAGCTATCTTGGCTTGCAGATCACCCGGGACAGAGCACGGCGCACCATTACCTTGACTCAGTCACACATGGTGCAGCAGGTCCTTCAGCGCTTCAACTTCACGTACTCCTCGCCTCAGGCCACTCCTCTGTCTACTCGCCACTCGCTCTCAGCTCTGCCTTCGGATGAGTCCGTAGAGCCGAGTGGCCCGTACCCAGAGCTTGTTGGCTGCCTCATGTACTTGATGACCTGCACTCGACCTGACCTGGCATACCCTCTTAGCATCTTGGCACGCTATGTTGCTCCTGGGAGACACCGACCAGAGCACATGGATGCAGCTAAGAGGGTGTTGCGCTACCTGTGCAGTACGTCGGGCATGGGGCTCGTGCTTGGAGGATGGGCTCGAGTTGTCCTCACTGGTCACGCAGACGCTTCTTGGGTTGACGACTTGACTACGCAGCGGTCGTCACAGGGTTACACCTTCAGCCTTGGTTCTGGCTCTGTTTCGTGGCGGTCTACCCGCTCGTCTTCTGTTCTCAGCTCCAGTTGTGAGGCTGAGATCTACGCTGGGGCCATGGCTGCACAGGAGCTACGCTGGCTCACCTACCTGCTGACCGACTTGGGAGAGGCGCCTCGTTCTCCTCCAGTTCTGTACGTCGACAACAAGGCCATGCTGGCCTTGTGTCAGGAGCACAGACTGGAGCACAGAACGAAGCACATTGCTCTGCGCTACTTCCTTGCTCGAGAGTTGCAGCAGCATGGTCAGCTTCGTCTTGCTTACGTGGCCACTCGGGCCAACACTTCTGATATCTTTACCAAGGCACTTCAGCCTTGTTATCATCAGCGTTTTTGTACTATGTTAGGTCTTGTGCCTACCTGGCCTCACTTGCTTACCTCTTGACTTTGCTTGTACTGTGATCTATATATACCTGCACCTGCATGCTTACCTTTGCTAGGTTGAGATCACTGTCTTGCTTGTTCACCTTGATTTATAATCTTGCATGTGAACTGGCCTTGTGGCCTTGTACTTGTGCTCAGAATGCGTGGTGACGTTGTGATCCACCCTGAGCTTGACCTTGCCTTGTTCTCTTGCTTGTCCCCCACTTTGTCTATGGGGGTGTGTCAGAACTATATTGTAGGCTGTAGTGGGGCACTCCTTATGGGGTACAGTATTGTTAGGTTTTGCCTATACAATCTTGTACTGTCCTGTTTCTACTCATCCTTGATTCCTATTCTCACAGTGTCATGAATGCATGTGTGTTTGTGTGCATGAGTGTCTGCATGCGTGTCAGTGTGTGTGCATGCTGTCCATTCGTCTGAGGGGGAGTTTGTTGGATGCACGTCATTCTGAGTGCATGTCATCCTAACGTTCTGCCGAGTGCTCGTGCCATTTGTGCTTGCATTATTTGCATGAGCATATGTCATTGCGCATGGCTGTTGGATTTTTCCATCTCTGTGTTTTTCTCCAATTCTACATACTTCATCATGCAGGAGAAATCCAGAGCTTTCCAACGATACCAAGATCGCCTTATTCCGACCAAGATCGCCCAAGTTACAAGATTTCCACGTTTTGTGAATTCTATCTCATTTCGAGATATTATCTACATTTGGCGAGTATTGGGACATGACTATAAAGGGATCTTTGGTTGGGTGGTTAGGAAGGCAATTTTGACTTTTGGATTGGGGTGGCTAGAAGTTTCTAGCATGGGTTGCAAATGTTGCAACACCTAGGCAAAATCCAACTAGATTGGATTTTGCATGTGACACCTCAAGGACCTCATAATGAGAGTTCCATCCTTGCTGCGAGGAAGGTTCCAACCATCCTTCTCTGGCTCTTGGAGAACCCCTTCCCTCTCATGGTTCTCTTGGAGGTTACCAACTCCAACTTTCTATGCCCTAATGTTTGTACTTCCTCTACCATTCTAGTCATGCGAATTTGCGTTTAGTTGAGAAACAAGTTCGTCGTAAGCTCTCAAATCGACGGATCCTGAACAACAAGGTTGACCTCACGTGCTGCCCCACCACCGAGATGAAAGCTGATTTCCTCACCAAACAACTGCCACGTCAGCAGACCAGCGCTGCTCCAACCTCACCGGAGTATTCAAGCGAGTCAGCTTACGACGCGTCCAAGAATGAAGGGGAGTGTTGAGATATGAAACTTTATGAGAAGGCATTCCTGTACGCTGCAGAAGCCGACTCTACCGAGTTCGAAGTCGAGAAGTCAGAGGAGTCGAAGCGACACCAGCAACCGTCAATCGAGACTGAAGCAGACAGAAACATTTGAATGAAAAAGGCGGGAACAGGTTTGAAACGGGTTCCCACGCTGCACGGTTTGAATTCGCTGTAATAAGGGAATGTACCCCTTAGAGTACATTGCTAGCCTAGGTCGTTTCGCATTCCTTCGTATTTCCTATATAACACGATATATGCATTGCTATTATCATCACAGTCATTTACATTCACTCTGACCTGAGGTCAACACTTGCGCTGCAACACTACCTGCGAACAAAGCTAAGCCGATCCCTGGCTCAGTCCTTTCTAGGATTGTAGCAAAAATCAAGTTTTTTTAGGGGGTGCGCTTATAATTGAGGATCGGCCATAAGTGCATTGCTCCGGATAGAAGCGCATGGGCATTTGATAGGCCTGCGCTTATATCCGGGGCCATACGGTAACTCTGTTCGAGGCTATCAAGAAGCGCCGAAGAAAGGGCAACACACCGTATTCCCCCGGATATAAGACCCTATAATCGTATGCTAAATCCCTATCACCCGGATGTTTTCATATGGCTTTTTTTTTTTTTTTTATCGTCAAACTGTTATAATGCTTAGGTTGTGTAGACTGTAGTGGGGAAGCTGTTGGATGCACGTCTGCCTGAGTGCATGTCATCCTAACGTCCTGCCGAGTGCTCGTGCTAATCATGCGTGCATTGTTTGCATGAGCATATGTCATTGTGCATGGCTGTTGGATATTATAATCTCTGTGTCTTTCTCCAAGTTTACATGCTTGATCATGCAGGAGAAATCCATAGCTTTCCAACGATACCAAGATCGCCTTATTCCGACCAAGATCGCCCAAGTTACAAGATTTCCAAGACTTGGATTTCTTATTACCTTTTGGGGTTATATCTAATTTGGGTGATTACTTGGACATGACTATAAAGGGGATCTTTGGTTGGGTGGTTAGGGAAGGCAACTTTGACTTTTGGATTGGGGTGGCTAGAAGTTTCTAGCATGGGTTGCAAATGTTGCAACACCTAGGCAAAATCCAACTAGATTGGATTTTGCATGTGACACCTCAAGGACCTCATGATGAGGGTTGCATCCTTGCTGCTAGGAAGGTTCCTACAATCCTTCCCTAGCTCTTGGAGAACCCCTTCCCTCTCATGGTTCTCTTGGAGTCCCCAACTCTAACATTCTATGCCTACATGCTTGTATTTCCTCCACCATTCTAGTCATGCGGCTGCTGGACGTTTTTACTTGGTTCTCACTCTATAGACCATCTTAACAACTGATTCAATTTGGAGATGGTAGCTAAGCCTAAGGCGCACAATCCTACTGAGCGGATTTGCGTTTAGTTGAGTAATGAGTTCGTCGTAAGCTCTCAAAGTGACGGATCCTGAACAATAGAAGCCCATAAGGGGTACAACCCAATTACGGTTAGAACTTGTACCCACTTTGTTCCTAGTTCATTCATTCTCGTTCAGTATTCTGACATGGTATCAGAGCAGGTCCTGTCCCAGGACCTGTTTTATTTAGGGCCCACCGTATAGTTCGCTGGCCGTAGCGCGTTACCCTGCTCGTAGCTCCTTGCCCTGCCCGTCGCGCTACCCCACCAGTCGCGCTGCCCTACCCTGCCCGTCGCGCCGCCCTGCTGGCCGCGCGCTGCTCTCCCCTGCCCGTCGCGCCGCCCTGCTGGCCGCGCGCTGCCCTGCCTGCCCGTCGCGCCGCCCTGCTGGTCGCGCACCGCCCTCTCCTGCCCGTCGTGCTGGTCTGCTAGCGCAGCGCCGCCCTGCCCAGCCCGCGCGCTGCCGTGCTGGCCGCCGCACCGCCCTGCCCTGCCCACGCGCCGCCCTGCTGGCCGCCGCCCTGCCCTGCCAGTGCGCCGCCCTGCTGGCCGCCGCCCTGCCCTGCCCGTTGTGCCGCCCTGCCCTGTCCGCAAGCTGCCCTGCTGGCCGTTGTGCTGCCCTGCCCTACCCTCTGCGCGTTTCCTTAGTGCACGCGCACCGCCCTGCTTGTCATGCGCCACCCTGCTCTGCCCACTATGGCTACACTCAGCGTTCTCACATTCGATCCTGAGGGCCGTCCGATACAGTTCGCTACGTGGCTCGATGACTTACAGCTGTACCTACTGAGCGACTCTACAGACGGCGTTTCGTTGTTTGACCTCACGTCTGGCGCCTCTCCCGCCCCTCCCGACACAGCTGACAGTGTGACTCGCTCACAGTGGCTTACCCGTGACGCTGCTGCTCGCCTAGCCGTTCGCAACCACTTACCGTTAGCCGAACGCGCTCACTTTGGCCAGCACAAGACTGCTAAAGCCATGTACGACACTGTAGTCGCTCGTTACTCCTCCCCTGCCACAGCTACACTCGGCCGCCATATACTGCCCTACCTTTTTCCCGAGCTGTCAGCCTTTGCCACAGTTGACGGCCTCCTCACCCACCATCGCACTAGTGACACTCGCTACCGCGCCGCGCTTCCCACCAAGTTTCTAGACAAGAAACCCCCCCCCATGTACATCACTCTCTACTTCATGGTCACCCGCCTCCCTGACTCTCTTAGCGCAGTCAGGGACCTCTTTCTCGCCATGGACCCCACGTACCTCACTGTCGACCTGCTCGAGAAGCACCTCTTTGCAGCTGAGGCTAACATAGTCGCTGTAGGTGCTGCTCGTGGCACTCCTCGCACTCCCTTCTTTGAGGGGTGTTCCCCCTCCCCCCTTGCCCCCTCTGTCGCTTCTGCTTCTGCTGTTGACTTCCTTCGTGCTGAGGAGGTCGGGGCTGCGTCTACTCCTACTGGGAGGCGCCGCAGCGGCAAGGGCAAGGGAGGCAAGGGTGGTGGGGGTGGCAGCGGTGGAGGCGGTGGTGGGGGCGGTGGAGGCGGTGGAGGTGGCGGTGGTGGCGGAGGGAGTGGTGGTGGGAGTGGAGGCGTTGGTGGCGGCGGTGGTGGCGGCAGTGGGAGTGGTGGCGGCGGCAGTGGTGGCGGCGGCAGTGGTGGCGGTCGGGGTGGAACCGGTCAGAGGGGAGGATCTGGCTGTGGTCAGAGGCAGCAGCAGAAGCGTCAGCGTGAGACCCCTACGCCCCAGGAGCTTCGTGAGTGGTTTGCTCAGCGTGGGCGTCTGGGGGTAGTGTTCACTGCCAGTACGTCATTCGCACAGGTGACCGCGCTGGTCAGACATGCGGGAAGGTTGGTCACACACAGTCCCGCTGCTTCTCCCGTCTTGACGACGCCTGGCGAGCAGAGTTTCCCGACGCGACTGAGCTCCCCCGCTAGCTAGAGCTGCTTAGGCAGGGTGTGGATATCTTTGCTCTTGACTATGATGCTATCCTTGCTGCCATGTATGCTTTGACTGTTAGTGCTGAGGGTGATCGATACCTGTGTGTACCGCCCGACCCAGGTATAGAGGCTGCTGCTCTAGGTGCTAGTGAGTCTGCTCTCCTTGGTACTGCGCCTGCTGAGGCCTTGCACACCTTCACGCTTGACTCAGGTGCTTCCCGCTGCTTCTTTCGCGACAGTACCACAGTCACACCACTCCCTGCACCTATTGCAGTCAGACTGGCTGACCCCTCTGAGGGGCCAATTCTTGCCCCTTCCTCCACTGTTCTCACGTGTCCGGCGGTTCCGTCCGGCTCACTCTCAGGTCTTCACCTCCCCTCATTCTCTACAAACTTGGTGAGTACCGCTGCCCTCCAGGATGCGATGGTCACTACCACCACTCCTGAGGGTTAGCGTGTGTCGATCTGCACGCGAGCACG